AGCAACCAATATACTATCGGCGACAAACAGACACTTAAGCCGCATATAATAAAGATTTTCATGGAAACTTGGTTTGCTGTTCATTAACAGCAAGATTAATTCTGAAAGTTAAATATCTTACTCTTTACTTAATGGCAGTACGCTGGTACTAAGGAGATAATAAGCATTTTATTTGAGGAAGTGGCAACAGATTGCTTTGAAAAAGCCGAATACATGGACTAGAATTGTTTTAAAAAAATTCCAACTTCCGAATAAGTACTTTGAGGTGCTCGCGCTCGGGTGGAGGATTACGTGTAAGTCATTACTTATATAATTTTTAAATAATACATCGCGATAACTTTTAGCTAATTTGGACGATTTGAAAAATGATTCGAACAAAATATGATACAGATGAAAAGTGAATTTTGAGACTAACAGCACCTCTTGAGCTTAAAACCTATTTCAAATAAAACCCAAGTTTTTGTATGAGAACAATATCTGACATTTTGTTTGGAATAAAAACTCAACTGTTCGGCGCCAACTTGCTCGACGGTATGTTTGGCCGACAACTCAGTTGTCCAACAGGTATATTTGTTCAACAACTCGGTTGCCACACATTTTAGCTATTTTTATTCACAACTAGAAAGCAGATTATTATATTTCATGTTGTTTGATTCAGGTTTGCAGGTGCCAGTTTTCAGAGGTCGTTTTTTCCCCCCAAGAGTTGAAAATCTACCATTTTCTTTCTGGTCGGATTTCATGTAATTTATGTTTGTCACAGAAGCAACAGTCAAATCAGCAGCAAAAGGTTACAATTTTGTTACTGGAATTATTAGGAAATTGCTCCTATAACTTGCCAAAAACATTCATAGGGATGATCCTAGTGGAACTACGCACTGGATTTCGGGTATACATATATGTCAAAGATGAAGTAGGTGGTATAGAAGTTGCTTTCTTCTCTTCCGGGTCAGTGAATGAATGAATGCTTTAATTGGTTTTTTTCATCGAGAGTGGGTTGATGTCATGGTTGCTGGAATTCGCAGTTCCTCCAATAATACCAAAAAAGAGGATGTCTTTGTATTGGTCATCAAATGATTGACATGATATTAGCAATATAAGCTATTCAAATTTGAAAGATTTGCAGAGACAATAATGAAGATTATAAATACGGACAATGATAGAAATGGAATTCGGCACTGAGACTCAGACTTTGGACTTCATATATTTTGTCTTTATATATAATATTTAGATGTAATATTTTGGCAATCGGGCACATGAATGAAGCTTGACAATCTGGTAGTCACATCAGAATTCCGATCATTGATGTGGCTGAGTGTAATCCAATGACGACACAGAAAAATTTAAATTTATAGCTCCATATCTTTATTCCATTAAAAACAGCAGATTATTATTCTTTTAGATTAAATTCTCCAAAATTACATATTCATAATGATTAAATAAGATTAAATTCAATTGTAATATATTCAGGAGCAGAAATTTGGACGGCGTAGAAGTGTTGATCCATAATGGCTAGGAAATTGGAGGCGAAGGCAGAGCAACATGTTGCGGCTACACACAAGTCGGCACATTAAATGTGCCTGCTCCAAGAGGCTTACATTTTTGATAACTTTGTAGCAAGAAAGCAGCAGCAGACAGACAGTAGTCTATCTAGGCCAAAGCGTGGAAAGCAAGTGCGTAATGTTCAGGATGAAACCTTGAGTCAAAATGAGTTAGTTTTGATTCTCAAAGCATTTTGATTGGATAGTTAATATTGCTGTAAAATTATTGTTGGCTGCTTGAGTTTTAGTTGAATTTACATCACCAGAATTACGTAAGAGTCATATGGCATAGATTTTTCTCGAAATGACGCATTGCAAATAGATGTTGCTATTTTTAAGGTGAGACTGAAACGTAAGGTGACTGATGTTATAATAATAACTGTTAATACTCGTATTGTTTGCAGTTTATATATTTACATATAAATACATCCTGCCGTCTACAATATACATCTACAATATACAAGTTCTGGAAACTTTTGAAAAACTCCTCCTTTGAGAATGTATTAAGTACCTTGGTAACAGCAGCTTGAAAATCGGTGTCCCTTTAGTGCCAACTTCAGTCGTAGAAAGAGGAAAGCGTCTGCTGGGGCAAGATCAGCACAAATTACTGAAAGTGAGTTGTAGTGAAATGGGCACTAAAGGGACACCGAGTTTCAAGCATCTCCAGGCATTCAAGCTGCTGTTACCAAGGAACTTAACACAGTCTCAAAGGAGGACTTTTCCAAAAGTTTCCAGAACTTGTATGAACATTGTCAGAAGTGTATTGTAGACGGAGGGAACTACTTTGAAGGATAGTGATGTATTTATATGTAAATATATAATAGTTATTATTATGACATCAGTCACTTTACTTTTCGATCTCACCTTGCATATATAATTATTTTTATCGTACGACCGGCTTGTACCGACTAGGGGGATCGGGGCTGTGCCCTTATAATGATAATGATAATGCGTGGGTTTGCTAACTCGGACTTAAAGGCACGAATGCAGCATTCGATGTTTATTCTTCATGCTGAAATTGTTTGCAGTTTATTCGCATAGATCAATGATTTCAAAATAATAATAATAATAATAATAATAATAATAATAATAATAATAATAATAATAATAATAATAATAATAATAATAATAATAATAATAATAATAATAATAATCGAAAGAGTACTTCTGGGATCTCAACTTCTGGGAAATAAAGTTTCATTTCGCAAAACTATTCTTTCAGCAATTTCTTTTTGTAAAATGTCAATACTGTCATTAGTAGTGTGACATGTGGCACTGCCTTGTTAGAACATGTCCATCAAATTTCGCCACAAAAAATTGTTACTATCAATTGATGTTGTTCACCAGTCACTTAAATGTATCCTCTATCTCGTTTTGGAAAAAAAAAATTGGTCCGATGATATCATGATCCTCTAAACTACACTATACAGTGACATATGGCGAACGCAAGAGCTGCTCGTGCATCTCTTATGGATTGCTTTCCCACCAAAAACGACAATTTTGATTGCTAACTTATCCATTCAAGCAGAATTCAACTTCGAAAGTAATGTTTGCCCCAAATTAACATCCTTGAAGGGTGTATTTAGCCCTGATAAGTTTTCAAAGCAAACTAAACACAAAATTAGTGCAGTAATAACATTTAAAACATGATGTTGCGTTTCTGTTCGGGTTCGTGGATTTGGAGTGATTAACAACAACGCTTGATGAAGATTGAAAACACAATTTGTTAGCCAGTATTACTCAGGAGAATTCCAAAAACACGTTTACAGTCGTCGTAAAACTACGATAAGCACACTGAAACAATCCGCAGCACAGCCTTCAAGCTATCAGGCTGTAACAGTGAAGACAGCTTCACGGCAAAGCACCAGAGCACAGCTCCCAACTCGGTTCGGTCGTTCTCGGAACTCTACATACTCTCGAGACTCTCCACGATACAACTGGTGATGCACTCACTAGACTCGCGATACTCCGACCAGCTCGACACTAGAAAGACGGTCAACTGACTAGACTCGTGATCGACTCGATGGACTCAACGATTGACTGGATAGACTACGCGACACTACTCAAGATACTCGCGATCAAACCTACTGCGCTTATAGGCAGGGTTTATATAGCTTTTGGGCTGCTTTCGAGAACATTCTGGGCCAAATCGATAAGAATTCATTTTAGAATGTTCTCCATCGGTCCATGGCATATCGCCAATTTTGTCGCCAAATGTCACCAAATGGGCGATTTTTCGCCAAGTGTGGCAATCTTGCATTCTTTTGCCATTTTCTGGCAATCCTAAACCCGCCTTGCGGGGAAGCTATCTTACCGCTGCTGGGCTGTTGGTAACAATAAATTTACCATTTCGTTTTAAAATCGTATCATTGTTATTGGAATACCATTTGTAACGGCGTTGTAATGATGTGTATTGCTACAATCGATGTATGTTTCTACAATAGAAATTAGCAAATGCTGTATGTTGGTGTAATCAAACACGGCATAGTATAGAAGATTAGCTTCCCATGAGGAGAGAGAAATATGCCTTTCCGGAGGACTAAGAGAATCTGCAAGTGTTTATGTTAGGGATAGGGGAAAAAAACAAGAAAAAGAAACCTATGCATCCAACTAGTTTCCTGGATCTCGAAATCGATTTATACTAGTTTTTCAGCAAATTATATTCACTGCTGGACGCTGATGTATACTTAGTTCAAAAGGAACTAATGGATAATTTGTCTACTATTTATTACTCAAAAATTGTGTAGTCTGTATATTACACAGTATAACGTTTAATAACGTGCATGATATTGGTTACACATTAATACTGGCATGTGTATTTTCAAAGAATTAGATAAAGGCAAATGTTTCATACATCAGAACAATAATTTCATATGCAACGGTTTACCATAAATTCTTCATGTATTTAAATATCCCCATGTTTATAAATTTAAAATAAATTATTATTATAATATGTAGAATATAGAATTATATAATTTATTTTTATATATTAAAATTATATATTTAGGTAATATTTTATTATTTAAACATTTTTACTTAAATATGCATAATTACTAAGAAACCGCCCTCTAGAAATATTTTAGCTTATTCTTATGCAGTTTCAATCGATTTCATCAGCAACACTAATTGGTAAGGAAATGACAAAATAATACCTTCATCGAAAATCAAAGTACATTCTGTAGATCGATGTAAGATTCAAATTGCCAATTCTATTCACCAGAACTTATTTTTATATATAAAAAGAAGCATATCGGAAACATGGCAAAGGTAACAAAACTGTATTTCCTACTTCCACATATTTCATAAAAGAAAATAAAGCGGTAGCAAAACTGTGCATGATTTCCTTGAAAAGAGAGTCGCATTAGGAACAGGTGTACAAATTTTAAATCACGGAACAAAGGTTTTTGTGTATTTAGAAGAAAACTCACATTGCAAGTGTCCATATAGAGTCACCATGTCTTCATGAAGGGAAATTAATGTTCACCGCAGAGCAAGTCTGTTAGGAATTTCTTTTTAATATTGTTCAGCTTTTCTTAAATATTTGATCTTATCACACAATTTTAATAAAATAAAAGCTGCAGTACGCTGAAGATTCTTTCATTCATCATGATCTCTTTAAGATTTCTGTTGTTAGCAGGTCTTATTAGCATGACAGTGTCACAAGGAGGTGGAGGTCCACGAGCAAGTGGAGGTCCTGGGCCACCTCCACGAGGTGGCCCACCCCCAGGTGGTCCCGGAGGTCCACCACCAGGGGGTCCCGGGGGTCCACCTCCAGGGGGTCCCGGAGGTCCACCACCCGGTGGTCCCGGAGGCCCACCACCAGCTGGTCCTGATGGGCCCTGCGGACCAGGAGGGCCAGGAGACTGTTTCATGTCTCCGGCATGCAAAAACTTCAGCAGAGCTATACAAGACGAAATGCGAGGTAAGAATTTTTCTTCAATTTAAAATAAAATTTGAATTTATTTGAGTCCTGAAACTCAAAACTCATAATAGTAAATGTATATTTGTATAATAGTAAGTTAGTGCAGAGCTTAATTTCTAAGATTAGAAGTACCGGAGCCCTATGGAAGACCGTCAGCAAAAAGGAACAAAATAAATAAATAAAATGACTAATAAACTCATTATATTTTAAAATTAATAGTTAATTGTTATCAAATTGATAGCTATTTAATTAATGTTAAATTATATAATCAATTAATTTTAATAATTTAATAATTTAATTGAGCCATTGCTGTATTGAAATAGCCTAAAGATTGAAGTATTAAATTAAAATCCCATGTAAAGAGATAATTGAATTTAAGAGATTTTTTAATATAATTTTTCATCTACTAAAATTTTCGAGATAAACCTTCTCCTGAAATTGTTATTCATACATAAAGAAGGGCCGCAGACTTCTTGATTCAGGGCTCTGGTGCGTTCCGGCTAGAATTATGCTTTATTACAAAAGTAAGGCACCAGAGCCGAGATCGGTGGGCTTCGGCCCATTTAAGCTCTGAGGCGGGGTTCTTTTATCATCACAAAAAATTAATATACTTAAAATATAGCTGATGAAAATTCATATAATGCTAGAAATAGGATGAAACAGAATGAGGGTGTGAGGGTATAAGTGGGTGGAAACAAAAAATGAGGGGGAATCTTGGTGAGAGAGAACATTTCTCTTTGACCTACGGCTCTCTGGCTGATATAATTATAGCCTATCAAGCAGATGTAGTGTCAGGGGGTAAAATGAGTCCTGAATCTGACTCGCAAGGATGAATGTAAAGTTGCTGGATTACGCTTCCCCCCTCATTAGTGGATACTGGGGTCTGAAGACGATGTATAGGACGTGCTTCAGCAAGTTTGATCTGAGTATTTCACTCTTATTGTACTCGCTGTCACTTAACTCACATTTAAGAACACAAATTTTCCTTCCTGCGAGGATAACTAACTATAAGCATCACTAACAATACACGAGATACGATGGCATAGCGAGAAATTTACGCGTTCCTAAACAACTCCCCCAATTTTATTGCCCTCCTTAAAGGGAAAGGTTTCCGCATGTGAGTGAGGGGACTTTACTTGAACATCTCATGTTCTCATGAGTTCGTATTTCTAGGAAAATAAGAGTATTGCGAGGTATGCTTATTGTTAAACTAAAACGATAGGAATTCTAAATTTTTTCCCCTTTAAATTGTGGTTCAGTTTTATAAAAAGAAGTACCGGAGCTCATCTTATTTAGGGCTCCGTTGCGCTCCAGCTAAAATTGTAATTTATCTTAAAAATTGAGAAGCACCGGAGCCGAGCTCCGGTGGGCTCCGGCGCAATTTAAACACTGAGTTAGTGTGATGTATAACTGCAGGCTTGAAATTCCAAATGTTAGTCTTGAATTTTACTTTTTTTTTTTTTTTTTTTTTTTTTTTTTTTTAACCCTAACCAGTTTTGTATCAATACTGTACTCCTAAGTATTTTTTTTTTTTTAATCTATGCAACCAAGTATGTCATATGTATTCAAGGTAGTCTTTTGTATCCTCTATCTAGATGTGACTTTGTAAAGTTTTTTTTCCTTTTTTTTTTAATTTAGACTCAATAAATGCCGTTATGGCTTCTGCAGGGCGGACATCATACTGCAAGGGATTGTTCCCGGTCAGTAGTCCTTTTAGCAGTGTAAAAGTAAAAAAAGAAAGTCCTGAAACTCAATATAATTTTTTTTGAACGAAAGTATCTGTATTATTATCGCAGCCAAGAAATAGCTCAATCGATTTCATCTGAAAATCTTTTATAATCGAAAATTTGAAAAAATTCATTTATTTAAATTCTTTACCATTATTGACTCGCTATTGAAAAGTAATAATTTTCGTTCGGAACTGAAATTTTCACTTGTTATTTAGCGGTTATTCAAGTGTTCTTTTACTTTAAAAGTAAAGTTTATTGCAGACTGAGAGATAATTTAAAAGTCAAGTTCTGAAACAAAATATACTATCGAATGATGTAACATTTGAACATTTTTTGTGCTCCTGTATGTATAAGGTTTTAAACATCTATATTTTTTCCTCTTATTAAATCGCTAACTGAAACAATTACTAATTTATTTAATTTAAAGTCTTAAAAAATACAAAACCTTACATTTGCCAACTTTAATTTGTTCTTGATTAAAACTAGCCAATTATGGCTAAGTAAAATATAATTTTAAGAAACTAACATTCAAATATGCAAGAGGAAAAAAGATTGATAAATATTTGTCGCACGTTCAGTAGCTGACAATTCTTTGAACCTTTCATACTACATTTTTAAGTAATAATTTTTGTTGAGTCTTTTCTCTTCATCACATTGTAGAGTTGCGCGCCTCCAACTTGCACGCAACCAAGAGGTGACTGTTGAAACTGGATAAATGACAGAGTCTTGCTAAGGGTTTAAGTCCCTTTTTATTCAACGTAATAAATTACAAGTGCGTGCTCTTGACGCTCACAAACTACGCCAACTCGGCGGTAAAATAAAAATAAGAACCTGAAAAGAAACTAATAACAAGACTCTAACTACGAGGCTCTCTAAAAGTAACTAACCTCACCGCGTTTTACAATACCGCTGCTAATTCAGCAAACTTTGAAATATCATGTTGAACGATTAACAATTCTCCAAGGCAAGCACACAGGCCGAAACGCGGGGTTCTTCAATTTCTGGCTAACTACCTCCGCGCTCGTGAAGTAAGAACAGCAACACCTCGAAACTCGTTTCCTTTCTATTTAACTCAGAATACTTCCGCTGATAATTTGAATCCTTGCGCGTTCAACTAAAATTTACATACTCTGGCATTGGTAGTTCCAGGGGAAAGTAAGGCTTGACAGGAAAGATAGTTTAAACTTAAAATAAATGTTAGTTAAAATAAATATAAACCCTACAACATTAATTTTCAGTCTTCTTCCTAAGGTGGCTTTACAAAAGTTTTTGTTTCTTTATTATTAAAGACTTTTGTGTTGACTTTATTTATTGCATATCATCTTCTTAGCCCTTGCGACACATAAAATTTATTTCAACAGCAAAATTACAAAATATTTTAAAACAGCACATTCCCGATAGACGGTTTTGCGAGCTGCATGTGAAAACTCACATTGCATTTATTATTTCGTACAGTGTGGCCACTGGTCCCTTTCAAATCGTCGAGCTTGTTGATCAGATATTCATTATAGGTTTACTAAATACAAAAAAATAAAATTCTAAATTCAGAATTCGACTTCCAGATTCACATGCTCGGGTGGAGGACTACCTCACTCAGAATTTGATAGATCTGGGTACCGTCATTTTTTCTCAATGCGAAGATTACTCATACGTACATGTAGATTCTTCATTATTTAATGGGCAAAACGAGAATGTTTTTTTTCTTTCTGTTTCAAGATTTTCTAGGATAGTTTTGCGAGCATTATGACGTTAAACTCATCAAGTATCATGCGAAAAAGCAAGTACTCATTTTTTAGCCACGAGTATTGAGGTTTTCTCATGTCCTCATTAATGCGAGACTGCAAAGAGACTCCGAGATTCATCACCAACGTCTTTACTCATCGTGAAATTATATGTACTAACGAAAAATACTAGACTTGTACGCCCGGTATGGTGTTTTATGCACAATGTTTTAAATGCCTTCCCGATTTACGGTAAAATGTTAGTCAGTTTTCAAGTACATGGTAGCAGATGTTCATAGCAAGAAGCAAAAGATCTTCCCATAAATAAAGGTTATTTTAGAAAAATAAGGTTGAGGTATCTTAATAAAACAAACGGAAGAGATGATGAAAACCAACTACACCTACACCATCCTAAATTATGTTTATTGCATTGTGGTTTACATAACTCGAAAGAACTCAAAACATTTTAGCACACCTCTACGTGAGCGTTATTTGTAGTTGGGATAATGCCTAAGCGATACTGCATCTCTTTTCAAACATTTGAAAATATACCTGATGTGACCTAGTCCTATCGTTTCCGTAATTTGGGCACGCAAATCTAAAGATCAGAAATCCGCTCCGCTCCATTTTTTTTCGGGAAGCAAAGCTTTTTGAGTTCTTTCGAGCTGTATAAAACACAATGCAATAAAACAAATTGGCTTTCGATATATGTGTCGTCCTGTTTCATCGTTTCTTGTAGCGGCACTCTTTAAGTGTTATCGACTATCGTTTGTCTTTGATAGAATTCATTAAAAGTTAGTCTCAAAATTTTGCAGATGTACTTTGTGTTTTTGATATCTCTTAAAATACGTAATGTCGCAATTTTGTTTGCTTATTAAAAATTATATCGGCAATTAACAGTACCCCAATCTCTTACACCTGCAAAATAACTTAGATTTAAAAACTTGCTATTTTGGTTGGAATTCTGAAACTAATATGCAACAAATTTATTGCCTATTTATTTATTTGTAAATTATCTTAATAGAAGTTCAAAGAAAAACAAGTTCTTCAAATTTCCGTTAGAAGAATTTGTGATTGCATCTACTATTTAACCATTAAATTGGGTAAAAATGCTTGAAACATTATTATAGCTTGATGTAAACGTTCTGCAACAATTTACAAAAGAATTCATTTTTTGCATCTAACTCTACATTTTGAGAGTAATTTAAATGCTAAAAATAACAAATATTATAAAAATTTAAAGATAATTTTACAGAGAATTCAAAAAATCTTTAAAGTTTAAAATAACAATATTTCTAGAAGTGTTGCGCTGCAAATTAAAATTACATGAGAAAGTGTAAAGGAACTGTGAAGCTAATACATTTTTTAAATTTTGTAAATTACAAGCATTTTTTTCAAATCAAAACCCTAATTATGAAAGAAATTAGGCAAAACTAAAAAATATAAAACATTTTACATTAATCAATGAACTTTAAACACGTTTTAAGTTATTTAGGTTATAATATTTAAATGAAAAAACCTTAGTTTTGAATTACGGCACTTGGCTTGGGCAAAATACTCACTAGCTTGTCGAGGAAAATTTCTTGAATTAGATGATATTAGCATGAAATTACAGCTTTGGTTAATTCTACGATTCTTTCTCTCGCTTTCTGTTCCAGTATCTTTCAGGTATTTTCAGATGAATTGCGATCTGATGAAGCGGCAGGTGAATTGCATTTTTTGAATTCATTTGAAAGAAACTCCAACATCAATCGTTCGCATTAGATGGCTTTGTATATTATTCTCTGAGAGATGTAAAAATTGTTTTGAAATATGTCAATAGTTAAAGGAAGCATTCGAATGGATTGAGATCTGATGAAAGGGCAGGTCAATCTCGTTTTCTGAACTGATTTGAAAGAATCTCATGCTTCAACCGTTCGTATTGGATGGCTTGGTACATATCCTCTTGAAGATGTAAAAATTGTTTTCAAACATGTTAATAGCTGAAGGAAACAGTTTCCTTTCAAGCACTTTAATATATTGGTCTGCATTCAATTTTGTTTCTGCAGCACGATGTCGACTCAATACACAGCATCTAAATAGCGTATCATAACCACAGTAGGAAGTTTTACAGATGTTGCAATACAATAGAATTTAAAACTATCGTTATGAAAGCGTCGTGAAAATGTCTCTCTTTTATTGAGCATTTAACGTCTTTTCACCACTCCAGCTAACCTTCCATCATTAATCCATAGTCCATCCTGCATTAGGTTATGCCCATTGTGATAGCTTAAGCCGTTGCCTTTTATTAATAAAAGAATTTTTCGAATATTATGGGCTGATAAAACATTATCGTTGAGCTTCCGATTTACAGGCTACCTGACAATATTAACTAAACAGCTCATCTTCTTCTTATGCTTCAAGATTTCATAGCGAGCAAACCCATATTCAACATCAAAACGAAAGAGAAACGAACTAGACTTCCATCTTTTCGTAACCTAACTTTCCTTGATTTTTCGTTTTGTGGCGATCTTTCAGAATTCTGATTAAATTGAAGTTATGAATGCATTTACTAGTTGCCGGAGTTCACATTAATTCCACAGCAAGATAATTCTTAATTAATGCAGTGCAATAATTTTAACGTCCATAACTACGTTGTTTGCGCATATTTTTTAAACAATAAAGTAAAAAAAAAATTGAGTTTGCCCTATTGAGTTCTCAATACAAAAACTTTTAAAGTAAATAATAATAATTACATTATAAACAGAATATGTACAACATAAAGTGCTATAGTGGCTTGAAAAAGCAGTTTCAATTTTTTATTATTAATTATTCATTTTATAAGTAATTATTCAAATAATGTTCAAATTGTCCAAAATTTTTCAAATAAATCTTTCCCAATTGTTCAAATAATGCTGTTATTTTAAAACAAAAATAAGTTTTGAATTCTGTGTAAAATTATTTTTAAAATGATGTGTAATTTACTAAGTGGGAATTGAAATTAATTTTGAAATTGTGATTATATGCCCAGAATACATGTTTTAAAGACATGTTGCAGAAATTTTGTAGGACGTGTGTTTTATCTTTCAGTAGAATAACTGTAGTTGAAAATGCCGTAAGTTAATGCACATCTGTGCAGTGATGTATTTTAATCACATTTCAGTGAAAGGCGTACATGATTAAACAAAACTTTTATGAAATTTTGAAAAGTAAAAATAGAAATATTCAATGAATTAGCTAAAATAATCGATTTATGTCAAGTATGGAAAAATCCTGTATCATTAGCCATTTCATCATAGAGTGGTCTGAAAAGTGTTGTATGTTTTATAATTTAAAATTGCAAGGGTCATAAAATTTAGAGTAATATAAAGAAATTTAAAAGATCATTTCAAGTGCTTTTTATGAAAAAAATAAGCATAATTTTAATAGTATACTTCTCCTTGATAGCTATGCACGAAAGGGGAGAAGGAGGTCCAGAAAACTGTCCGGATGAAAATCATGAAGTAAGCAATTTTACAGTATTTTCCCTCGTGTACAAAAACGAGTATAAGCCAGCGTAAAATAAATTTTTAGACTTGCTGTTTTACGATTGCGATGTTTACAAAATTATTATAACCCTATTAAATCTTAACATTCTTACAAATTATAGCTTAATAGGACCGCCGTTAAGAAATTTAAACCTAAAAAGAAAAATTCAACAAAATAGTAAAATAATAAATAATGCAATTAAAACTCTCAATTAAACAAGTTCGGTGCTGTGAGAAATAAAAGGAAAAAATCTAAAACCCTCTAAATTTTGCAGGTAATTTGACAATGCAAATGCATATAAAATATGAAATAAAAAGTGAAATAAAGGAAAGTAACAAAATACACCTTAGCTTTTCTACAAGTTGTCGCATATTTTATGGATAGGAGATAAAGTAGAAAATTAACTAATGTGTGATGTTATTTGATAAATGAATAATAGAATTTGAATGAAAATATACATTAAAAAAACTTATGTGGACACAAAATGGCTTCCTTGTGCGGCCTATTAAATTATACGCTTTTTTTGCTGCATTTGATTTAAACTTAATTTCTCGTTTTTCAGTAGAGATATATTTCTCATTCAATTAATTTATTCTCACTTTGCGGCAAAGAAAAAACAGTTAAAAACATTAAAAAAAGCAGTTTTTAGAATTAAAGTGAACAAAATTGAAAGTTAGCTTTTGGTCCAACTAGGCAAAAAGACACATTAGTTGGTGCACCAAGTGACTTGATTCACTTTTCTATAAACAGTTTCAAGCGTAAAAAATGGCGGTTCGTTAGGCTTAACTCACCACTTAAAAAAAATTTTAAATTATTCATAATTCTATAATTATTGCATGCAGATTAACTGAAGTCATACAAACATTAACAGGAACATAAGAACAGCATAATTCATTCAACTTTAAAGCAAAAAATACACAATTTAACAACATATAAGAATAAATAAATTTAACTCATCGTTCCAGGTAAATGAATGAGTCTATCTATCTAGATATGTATAATATGTATGTACATACGGTTGTTACAGCCAAATGCAGACAAAAGGGTGGTGCACAACTACATGTTATAGCAGTCTCATATACTAAAGTTCAACGAGTCTATTTTTTCTTGATTTATGCCTGATTAAAAATACATGCATGCGCACGTACGTACGTACAGACGTCACGAAAAAATCTCCTTCGAATCAGTTTTGAATCTATTTTACAATCCGTTTTAGAAAAAAGAATTCTTTATTTTCTCCGTACGCGCAGATGTCACGCAAAAGCATCGTTCAAATGGATTCGAGATCGGTTGAAATGAATATTTTCGTTTAAATATGCTACCTGAAATTTTTCGTGATTACAATACTTTGTAAAGTAAAAAGGTAATAGGATTTATGATTTATGATATAAAATATACTTCCAAATAATAACAAAATAAAAGCTCAGTAAATAACGAAAACGTAAATAACGAACAAACAGAAAAATACAATAATAAAACTGAAAAGAAAAGAAGGTTTATATTAATTATTACACCAGGGGAATAGGAAACATATAAAAACTTAAAAATCTAAATGTGATTTCGGTTACGAACCAGTGAGCCTATAGCTGCAATTTATGACAACAGCTCAAAAATTCTATTTATAAAAATTTTTACAGAATTATTTGAAATTTAGCTGCATTTATTTCATTATATGATTAGTCGGATCATAAAATAGTATAAAATCTATGTTAAAATATTCAAGAAATTGCGGAAATAATTTAAATATAATAAATGAAAAACCTTTCTAATAAAGCGTTACATATTGCTAACGAGCAGCAAGTTGTTATAAAATTTCTTGTTGCTGGTAAATAACTGCATTAAGCGTATAGAATTCGATGTTCTTTGGTAGCATAAACTAAGTCCAAACTCCGTGCAAATGTATAGCGAATTATCGTTGTGTCTGAAAAGAACTTTTATATCTTAAAGTTTAACAAATCTTTTATCGAATAAGAACTGGAGCATAAATATCTTGTGTTCTATTAACAAAATCAACCAACCACTTGCGAAGATGTAACTTAAAGTAATAGCGAATTTTAAGATTTAAAATTTATAGCCAAAAGCTACCAATTCATTTAACGCTAAGTTGGCTCAAACTCTTCACCGGCGTAACAATTTAAATGTCAGCAATTGTAATCCAAAGCCGAAGAATAATATCTTTCTGAGCTAGAGAAACCTATTAACATGGCCTGGAAAGGCAGAGACAAGCCCTGTCTTACAGTCCAAAAAACTCAGCTTAAATACTCATACTACATTTACATTCTGGTAGGGAAAGTGACAATAAAGCTCTAAATCATAATAACTGTTTAAATTAGCACAATGGAACCTTACAAGTGTGTAAAGTAATGTATGTCAATTAACTAAATTTTATGATTAAAACCTTTACTACAATTTCTCCTTTGCGTTAGCTCTCATCATGCAAATAAGACTGCAAATTATTTGAGTCAAGGATTTTGAATATTTTACATGCAGACCTTTAAACTGTGACGCTTGCAGCTACTTTTCTACTCCCAAACTCTGCCTGTTAATATTCCGGAATTAACCATTTTGTTATACCAAATTTATATCGTCTCCAGCTATGGCACTTTTAAACTGTAAATTCAACTTATGTTATTTTAAATACACGCAAGAGAAGTATTATTATTAGACTCAGGGGATGACTTTTGTTTAAATTCGCGCTGAACAAAAAGGTTATTTAAAACCATAGTGATAGTGATAGTGACGGAGGACGTGGCCACCACCCCTTTACTATTAAGTTAATTAGCATATAGGGCCACGTCCGCTCTTATACAGAGTAAAGCCAGAGAGGCCACATGGGAGGCTTGCACAAGGCGCCCAAACCCAACGCCTGGACCATCCGGTTGGCAGTTCCGCGAACCAAATGCCACCGGGTAGACACCCGTCCAAAGTGCCCGGGTCCAGTGATTTTGAATCTTCAAGAATAGCATTGTACATGGCTAAACAAGGGCAGATATACATTAGTAGTTATTTACATGCTTCTGTTAATACATATTTGCTGACATGCAATCCAGCACTGTTACATACATATACTTTCTAAATACCTACATGACATTACCTTAATTTGCTTTGGAATAATAAGACTAGTATATACACTTAGCACAATAATAATAATAATAATAATAATAATAATAATAATAATAATAATAATAACATACATTAGGACACGCTTGCCCACACTATATACACACATCGCAGACATACCTAGATTACTTATGCTTGAAAGTTACTGATTTACATTGAAATTTGCTGACATACTGACCAGTTATATTTACACATGGCATAAGTCTGGACCCATGTCCATTAGCTTATCAAGTATATGAGTAATTTTGTTGGTCTGGTGTCGCTGCTTGACCATAAATCTGTTGAATGCCTCCCTGTTCGTCTGCGGGAACGGAATGTGCATTCCCTCCGTGAGAGGACATTCATGAACGTAGTGTTCTGCTGTGCCCAGATCGCCGCAGCAGCATTGATCCGAATTGGAGACTCCAAATCTCTCAAAATATACTGGAAAGGGCCCATGCCCTGTGATGTAATACACCATTTGTGGCCCGTGCAACCAGTAGTTCCCTATCTACTTTAGGCAGAAATGTATGCGCTCGGCGGCCTGTGTCTTCGTTGTCCCACGCAGCCTGCCAGAGTGCTAGAGCTGTGGCGCGCAGATTCCGTTTTAAATGAGAAACCGGCCATGGGATTTGTACTGGGACTGCTTCGACGTTATGGGCTGCTTCTCTTTGCAAGCCGATCTGCAATCTCATTACCATGATTCCCGATATGGGCTTTCGTCCATTCTAGATTAATTTTTAATTCTTTATGAGCACGGAGGTATTCCTGAATAGCTGCTATTATTGGACAACTGTGGGTGGGGTTAAGGATGGCGCATAACGTAGACAGGCTGTCTGTTATTATGTAACTATTGTATAGCCTCTGCTGAATTATCGCTTGCAGTGCATAGCTTATAGCTGTGGCCTCGCTTTGGAAGACACTATTGTGCGCTTCCAGATGACCCTTCCATTGACTTACTATTCTACCCTGTTTAAGTGCTGCATATGCACAGCCCACACTGTCGTCTATTTTAGATCCATCCGTATAATAGGTAACATCTATGTTCGTGGATCTTGTGGTCTGCTTTAGGTTGACATTAACACCCCGTCCTTGCAAAGACGGGTGCCTGTCAAGGCTGATGACTGCTCTTTCGAGGTTATCTGCAGTAAACACCTCTTCCCCAAATTGCGTTGTTTGGCCGAGTTGCTTGACTATCTGGTACGTAGCTTCCTTCTCGACACTAATGGACAAGGGTAGTATGCCAGCCAGGACTGCCAGTGCATTGGTCGGGGAATTTCTGAATGCTCTCGTGATATTTAATAAAAACGGCCGTTGGATGCTTTGCAAATACTTTACTTTTCTGCTCTGCATCGGTAAGGCCCAGACAGCTGCTCCATACGTCACGATCTTCTCAGTGACGGTGTTATAGAGGATATGGGGGTTGAGACCCCAGCGATATCCTTTCATCATCTTGAGCTGCTGAGCGATGCTTGCTGTGCGCTGTTTTAGGGAGAGCACATGCGCTATCCAATTCAGTTTGTCATCAAATATTATTCCCAAGTATTTGAGTTCTCGCTTGATTGCAAGTCGTTTCCCATTGAGCGTGATGCGTGGTTGTCGCGTTAGGGAGCCTCCCTTTTTTGGAATCAATAAAACTTGGGATTTTTCTTCGGCAATTCAATTTCAGCGTTGCACATCGCTCCTGAAAGAGGTCGCAGGATTCTTGGCAGTTTCTCTGCAATTGCTCTCTAGTGGGGCCTTGTACTATTAGTGCCGTGTCATCGGCATATGCAACTATTTTCGTGTGACTTGGCCACGCTGTGTGTAAGTATACTATTGTACGTTAAGTTCCATAGGAAGGGTCCCGCGCAGGAACCCTGCGGACATCCCCTTG